CCTTGGAAGGCGACTGTGAGGGTTAGAGGAGATGTGTTTAAAGTGGTGCTCAGGAAGTCATAGCTGGAGTTACAATTGTTAATAGGCTGTTCAGCCAATTTCTCAAGTTGAGGAACATTAGACTTAATGTTTCCTTGAAAATGAAAAAAAAATCATTTAATTGTGAGCCTAAAGGTCACATTTTTAAGGTTATGGGATAATATTTAAAAACAGGGGAGTTGGGATGGCAAGATGAGGTTCCCCCTCCCGAAGACAAGTTCCATCTCTCCCCTGTGTTAGGGGACCGACCTCAGAGCGCCAGGTTAACAGCAGGTGGCGAGGCTTGACCTGTTTCAACAGGTGTGGAACGCTGAGTCAGACGTTCCACTTGTACATGATCCCTCTGCTGGTGCAGGTGCTCCAACGCTGTCCGACTTTTGTCTGCCAGCCGCCTGGGAGGGGGCAACGCATAAACGTCCCCCTATCTGAGGTCCAACGCTGAACTTCTAGAAGTGGAAAGGAGTGTACCTTTGACTTATGTATAAACTTGAGAAAACTACGTGAGTCCTGATTTATGATACTTTGCATGGCAGGTACTTAATAGACGTGGGGGTGATGATGAGGTGGAAAATATGAAACTAAAGGGCCTTGAAAACGTGTAAATATCCATAAGCAGCCTCATCTCAACCCTTAAAAGAGCCTATACCGGCATATTATTCTACTGAGATTGGAGATCCATCAACGCAGTAGCTTCACGCCGCAAGCGGCCCACTTGTGTGGTGCGACGCTGAGGGAAAGCGCTGCCGGCCCCTCCGCGTTACTAGCTCACCAGGAAGTCAACAGTCTTCAGCAAGCATCTGCCAATAAAAAACGCAAAGCTTGCAAAATTAAGAGTTGTTATTTCAGTCTGTATCCTTTTGTAACATCTTGAATAAATGTTGCCTAACGAATATAGCTAGACTACAAGTCAACAAGTGAATTACTACATAGTTATCTGTTGCTGAGTTAAAGTAATTCTTCCACACTGACACTGATTAGAAACTCCAGGGTTTGAGAGAAGCCCTAAGTCAGCCCACCCCCCGCCCCCAGGAGTGACTCTTCCCCCGAATTCAGCCTGACGCTGCCCAGCCGCCCGGGGCTGACACTAGGCCCTCCAGAATATTTCACAAGAACCCATCTCAGCTGCCTTTTCTTTCAGCCTAACTGTCTTCGATGAGAACGAGAAACTGATCCCTCATCTTTGTCTCACCCCAACCCCAGAGGCATCTGCTGTAATTGGAATCAATGTAAAGGTGGATACCTCAGAAACTTTTAATAAAATAAAGAAAAAGGATAGAAGTCATCCCATTTTCGAAGGTAACTGGTATTTTCGTTAGATTTTTAAAACATGGCGTTTATATGTTTCAATACTTTTCCTGTTTCCAATAACCAAAGTAGAAACGCCTGCTAAATAAGCTTAAGAATCGTCTTGGCTCAAGCAGGGTTCGGATGCCTGAGTGAAC